ATACGACTCTCTCCAGTTTCCCAATAATGTGGCGAACTTCTAATTTTCGAATTAAGTTGACGGTCATAAACCACCGGTTTAGGGTTCCGACGACATGTGTGGAATTTGGTGATTTGATAACATTGTTTACTTTCTCAAAGTAAAACTGACAGAAGTGAAGTTGGATTGTTTTTGTATTAAAGATCCCGTGGACATTATATTTCATTTTCAAGTATATAGTAGCCTAGCCAGATGTGTATAAGAGTCTTCCTTCAGACACTCTTACGCTGACGAAGGCAGCAGGTGCTGCCGAAAATTTCGTTGAATAAATGTACATGTCTCAAATTATGTCAAAGTGTCCGGCGTTTATGTTAACAACTGCAGTGTTATTATATATATATATATATACATATATATATATATATATAAATATATATAAATATATATACAGTATATATATATACATATATATATATACAGTATATATATATATTATATAAAGCGAAGTCATCTGGGCAATGCGTGGTGATGAAGGCAGCGGGAACTATGTGTGTCGTGCGTGACAATGCGGTATGGTAGACATGAATAATGCGCAAACAATTACTTCATCTATGCGTAAACAAGTAGTGCTGTTGCGTGTCAATGTGTGCCCATTTCTGGCAGCGCATTACGTAGACAATGCGTGTGCAATGCGCGAACACGCCGCAAACATTTCCATTGCAGTGGCGGGTTCTTCAACTGGTGGGGGGCCCAGCCTTCCTGGCCTCTCTAAATTTTTCAAAATTGTACAAAAAAATCACAGAAAAAAAGAAAAGTACATTCAAATTTTAAGTCTGAGATTGTCATTTCCGGCTATCTAGAGGTGACATAATCGTAAATTTGCTTACCTCAGCCCCAACCATGGTGGGCTTAGGTGGTACAGACATTCCATCTGTCAAAGTCCCTCCTTGGGCCTCCTCTATTTGAAATTCCTGGATCCGCCACTGCACTAGGCTTTTTTCCTTGATACATTTTATACAGTATATATATGATATATGGTCTTTCAAGAACAACCATCATATATTAATATCTCCCTTTGAACATGTCTTTTCAGTGTGAGACATACACTATGGTGCACTCAATCCGCATGTGTTGCATGAGTGACCGAGAGATGAATTTTTAAATGTAGTTTTAAAACCTTTCCACTTTTTGTGATGGCACTATACCATATGATACTAAAGTATAATTAATAAGAAATTGGATGAAACACTATTCACCATAATTAATAATGGCTCGTTGAAAATTGTAGCTGTCATGAGTTACAAATGCAGCATGAGTAATACAATTGTAAATTTTATGCCACTAAACAGCAACAAGGATCAGGCTAATATTGGGCATTTGTAGTACATGCTGGCACCTACTTGAAGATTGAATTCAACACTAGTGACTAAAGCACAAGCTGGGTAGTCACTAGACTTATGGCACCAGGCTCTGGAGGTTGCTGGTTCAATTCAGTGGTCAATGGTGATGTATTTATATAGCGTCTTCCACAGAAAAACCTGTCTCAAGACGCTCTGTTAAGCCACAAGAAATGAAAACAAAAATTATTAAATGAACTGGCGCGAATGCAAAGGCCTTATGAAGATCTGCCGGTAATGAATTCCACAACTACAGCCGACTTCTGCAGTTCATAAAATGCACGTCCGTAACTATGTTTTTAGATTTCTCTAGTAAATGAAAAATTTCCGTAGCACCTAATAATTTGCTTTGAGTGCAAGATATGGGTTTTTCAAAATTGCAGGTTACATTGTGGAATTTCAAACAAACTGTACAGAATGAAGATTGTATGGGTCACTTTTCAGGACGATTGATCGTCATGAAAATCGGCCCGATAGTCCTGGGCCCGATCATCTTTGGGCCTAATTGTCTGTAATTCAATGTGGAATTTTGAACAAACGAGACAGGATGAAGATTTACAGGCCACTTTTTCTTTAGTTTTCACAATAATTTATCAGTAATATATGAGTAATGTAAAAGTATGAGTTGTCTAGGGACCATGTAACCAAAGATCCTGATGGAATAGTAATTTGTTCTGGACTTTAATATAGACCTATTTATTTATGGGTCTGGCTATTACAAATTTCTGTAGAATTTTGTCTATTTCAGTACGTCTGTAATTAGGCAAAATGGGTGTGGACTCACCAAATTTCCCCCTCCACCTTTGAAAATAGATCAGCGCCCTGCCCTGAGAATGACATTAAACTCCATTGTGTTGGCACAAAGAGCATCTGGAGGTGCCCTAATCATAAATTTTCTTACCTCAGCTCAGTGGGTGGTTCTCATTCTATTTTGAATTCCTGGATCCGCCTCTGTTATTATAATTATTGTTAGCCTTACTAATATTTATAATGCGTCTATTGCAATTTTCACTTTATCCTCTCAAAACCATCCTACAAACATTGAGACTGCAATGCGCCCTAGCCCCGCCGTGGTCCTTGGCGTCCCCCAGCTGTAGGGAGGGGATATCCCACCCCCGCTCGGTACTAGGT